CCAGCACTTTGGGAGGCCGAGGCGGGTGGATCACGAGGTCAAGAGATAGAGACCATCCTGGTCAACATGGAGAAACCCCGTCTCTACTAAAAATACAAAACATTAGCTGGGCATGGTGGCGCGTGCCTGTAATCCCAGCTACTCAGGAGGCTGAGGCAGGAGAATTGCCTGAACCCGGGAGGCGGAGGTTGCAGTGAGCCGAGATCGCGCCACTGCACTCCAGCCTGGGTAGCAAGAGTGAAACTCCGTCTCAAAAAAAAAAAAAAAAAAAAAAAAAAAAAAAAATTAGTTGGGCGTGGTGGGATGTGCCTACAGTCCCAGCTACAAGATTGCTTGAGCTCAGGGGGTCCAGGCTTCATTAAGCTGTGATTGTGCCACTGCACTCCAGCCTGGGTGACAGAGCCATACTGCTATAGTTTAGATATGTGTCCCCACTCAAATCTCAGTTTGAATTGTAATTTTCAGTACTGGAAGTGGTTGGAGGTGATTCGATCATGGGAGTGGGTTTCTCATGAATGGTTTAGCACCATCCATTTGGTGCTGCCTTAGCAATAGTGAGTGAGTTCTCATGAGATCTAGTCCTTTAAAATTATGTCGCACCTCCCTCTTGGCCTGCTCTGGTCACATGACATGCTTGTTCCTGGTTGGTCTTCTGTCATGATTGTAAGTTTCCTGAGACCTCCCCGGAAGCAGGGCAGATCAAGCAACATGCTTCCTGTACAGCCAATAGAACTGCAAGCCAAATAAAGCTCTTATTTGCACAGGCTGGAGTGCAGTGGCTATTCACAGGCACCATCCCACTACTGATCAGCATGGGAGTTCTGACCTGCTCCGTTTCCGACCTGGGCCGGTTCACCCCTCCTTAGGCAACCTGGTGGTCCCCTGCTCCCAGGAGGTCACCATATTGATGCTGAACTTAGTGCGGACACCCTTTTCTTTATAAATTACCCAGTCTCAGGTATTTCTTTCTTTCTTTTTTTTTTTTTTTTTTTAGATGAGCCTTACTCTGTTGCCCAGGCTAAAAGTACAGTGGCGGGATCTCAGCTCACTGCCTCTGCCTCCTGGGTTCAAGCAGTTCTCTACCTCAGCCTACTGAGTAGCTGGGATTATAGGCGCCCACCACTGCACCTGGCTAATTTTTGTATTTTTAGTAAAGATGGGGTTTCACCATCTTGGCCAGGCTGGTCTTGAACTCCTGACATCGTGATCCATCCACCTCAGGCTCCCAAAGTGCTGGGATTACAGACATGAACCACTGCATCTGGCCTCAGGTATTTCTTTACAGCAATGCAAGAATGGCTTAATATAGGGACCTCGTCTCAAAAAAAAAAAAAAAGTGGTTGATACATAAACAGAATATGTATAAAAAAAAGAAAAAATAAAGCCACTGAATAAAAAAAACAAAGACAACATTTTCTTTGCTTCTTATGCAAATATGCTTGATTTTCATGTTTACAAAACTTTTAGAAGAGGATGTCTTTCCTCTTGCCTCCAAGGCTGGAGTTGAGCCACACTGGGCCCTGCCTCAGTTATCTCAAATTTACACATTAACATTTATATCCTCATATTCTCCCTCCTTTCTTCCCCTTCTTCTCCCTACTCTCCAGGACAAATAGTACATTATTTCCAAGACTCCAAAATATGTCCAAATACTTGGAATCCGCCCAATTGCCTTTTCAAAATACAGAATCTCCAGGAGGTAGGACTTGAGAATCTGTTTTAAAAA